TAAAATTAAAAAAAAATTGAGATACAAATTTAACTATTAAGAGTTTAAATACCATAAAGTGAAGATCTTATCTAGTTAGAAAATAGGCCAAGAAGAAAGAACCTTCCTTATCTTTTAGCATTTGTCACTTTTTAATTTGCACCACATTTAATTTGCAAACACCTTTAATTCTCTTGCAGTGCTGAAAATTCTGCAAGAATGTTTATCTTTGTATCCTCTGCCCAACAGCACTTGCATATATATAGAAATTGACTCAGGGCTTTTTTGGTGAAGAATTTCAGAGATTGGGTATTATCACATTTTGATATTTAAGTTGGCTCTTATTTCCTTCTATTGTGTAGTGGAACACATTGAAATACTGGAAAAAAAATGAAGAAGATTCCTACATGTCTTAATTTAATGCCACAAAAATGAATTGTATACTTTAGATATACTTTTACTAAAATTGCTATTTAATATATTCCTGATTTTCAATGTAGACGAATTTTTCTTTAAAAACTTAGATAACTTAGCTAAAGGTAACGCTAATAACAAAATATCCTAGTAGTTTATTTAGAGTGGAAACTTTCAGGATTTTTCCTGAAATTTTTCCAGACATCATCATTGGGTAAAAGAAAACTGGAATATACCTCCATTTATAGACACATTATCTTTTCGCTCTAGTATCTCTTCCTTCTGATAAAACCTTGGAAAAAACTCAGGTCAGTGAAAATAAACCCCACCATATTAAGACCCAAGGTGAATGTTCTCTTTCCAATTAAGTTCCAATCATGTCATCTGTCTTTTAAATAAAATAACAAACTTAATTTCCTAGTGTTGTTGAGAATTGACATGCATCACTGTTTAAGGTATATAGCATGATGTTTCGACTTATGTACATATTGTGAAAGGATTACAATGGCTTAGTTAACATTCATCTTTTCATATAAAGTAAAAGAAAAGAAAAAAAAATCTTGTGATGAGGACCCTGAGGATCTAATCTTTTAACAACTCTCCTGTATATCACATAGCAATGTTAACTTTAGTCATCGTGGTGTACATAACATCCTTAGTATTTAGAACTGGAAAGTGAGGTAATAAGCCTATTTTACAAAAAGATTTATTTATTTATTTGAGAAAGAGACTGAATGGGGGAGGGGGGCAGAGAGAGACAGAGGGAGAAGGAGAGAAGCAGATGCTCTCAGTTGAGCATGGAGCCCTATGCAGGGTGCTCTCCTGATCCTGGTATCATGACCTGAGCTGAAATCAAGAGCCAGACTCTTAGCTAATTGAGCCACCCAGGCACCACATAATTAACTCATTTTAAAGTAAAAGTTAATTCACTATCTTTACAGAAAATGAATAATTTGCATCAATCCAACCTATGAAAACTTTCCCCCACTATACCTCATCATCTACTGTCTAATCTGGTTAGGTCTTCCTTAGGAATTCCTACCTCTGTGCCTTTGAGTATCTATAGTGGGTTAAAGATGGCCATATACTCGTCATCAAATCTCTCACTGCGATGTCAGTTTGTTCCCCATAGTTTCACCACCCTCTACTCCAGAGAATCTGGGCTGGTCCTGTGACTATCGCAAAAGTGAGGTGGTGCCAATTCTGCGTCTTTAAGAGGGCTCAGTAGTTTTGTTCTCTCCCTCTTGGAACACAGATTCTTGGGATGTTCCCTTTTGCCTCTTGGCTACCATGTTGTGAGCAGCTCAGGCTATGTGGAGGGGCCATGTAGAGAATTCAGGGGCTCCAAATGACTGCCCCAGATGATCTTCCGGCTGATAGTGCCAACTGCTACCCAGGGGAGGGAGCCATCCTGGCCCTGCAAGGTCTAAGCCCCCAGGACCCAGCCTTTATCACTCAAAGCAGAAGCGTCTAACTGGGACCATTCAAATGCAAAGAATCAGGAGTGACAGTGAGATAGTTGTTTTAAGTCATCAAAGTTTGGAGTAGAGCTATAACTAAAGCAGTATCCTTTTGCTTCTTTCCAATTAATTCCAATCGCCTTTATATTACTTTTTCAACTAGACTGTAAATTATTCATGGCCACAGATATTGCTGTATTTGCTTCCCATGTGTCCCTGTAGCTATTAACACATTGCTAGACACATGGGATTCTGATTACCTGAGATTTCCAGTTGAATTATAAAAAAATGGAGAAGCAAAGAGTGGTAAAAAGGGAACATTGGATATAAGACAAATTTTAAAGACTAGGATTTTGATTAAACCAATATTAATAACTAAAGTAAAAAGAATGTGTCTTTCTCTCTATTTAATCTACAAAGGAATTAACTGTCATTTTGTGTGTGTTTTGTTTGTAAACTGAACCTAAAATATCAATTTTAGTTAGAAGCATGGTCATCTTTTGGAAATTTATACATGGAATTGTAAAAGACCAGACTGAAGGGAAATTATGATCAGACTGAAATAAATAAATAAAAAGATAAATAAGTAAATAAGTAAAGGGAGGAAAAAGCAGAAGTTATTGTTTGGAGCTACACAGTAAAAGGGGTGAATATAATAATTTTCTCTTTCAGTTTCTGCCATGTATTCTGCATGTACTTGATGTGGGAAGTAACAGTTATTTATCCAGTCACTGAAACTAACAATATTCTGGGAACAGGTACTGTTTGCAAGCCCATTTACTAGTGTAACAATAATGAAGCACAATTCAAGTCAGAACCCTGGATTTAGCAAACAGAATGACAATATGACAATATGCCTATTTGTGATCCAGGGCCTTTTTGGGGGGGCATGAGGGTATGAAGAAACCAATATTATTTAAAATGTGAAGGGTTTTTAATCTTTTTTAATTCCAAGTATACTTTTGAGTACTTTTATTTCCTAATTGTTAATAAGTTATCTATAAGGCAGAAAATGTCCAATGTACTTAAATAATTCCCCAAATCTTTCCCTGAGGACCAAGCCTCCCAGCAAAATCTCTCCCTGCTATGTAGCTTCTCAGAATTCACATTTCTATGTTTCAGAACTGCACTTGCTAAGAGAGAAAAAGATTAGAAAATAATGCAGAATACAAAAGGCAGTGTGTGTGTGTGTGTGTGTGTGTGTATGCGTGTGTGTGTGTGTGTGTGTGTGTAAGGAGTGGTGAGGAATTACGCCTCTTGCTCTCTGGATTCTTGCATTTGTGCAAAGTTGAAGGGTAACTGGTCATTACATAAAGGGCATATTTAAAAACACTTACGAAACGTGTTTATATATACTCTTGAAATGCGAGTGATTCACAAAGACAAATATTGTAGCACAAAGCTTTATTCATGCAGTCATACAGCCAATATATATTGTTGAAATACATTTTTAAAATCATAGCGTGAGGAGTTGAAGGCATAACTCTTCACACTCACATCCGTGTTGTTCTCAAGTGAGCCATGGATAGAGAGAGTAGAAGTGGGAGGCAGAGGGAGGGGTAGGAGAATAGGGAGCAAGCGAGCGAGAGATGAAAAGAAGAAAAGAAGCGAGAGAGAAAATACCAAAATACCGTTCTGGGGCCCACCATCTCATCTATCCCAAGTATGTGGGCATCGTATCTAGCTTGTAACAAAGAGATGGCCATGGCGCTTCTTTTTGGTTCTAGACAGAGCTGATACAAGGGGGCACTGCATGCATGCCTGTCGCCTCAGCTCAGTCCCCATTCCTTCAGGATAAGTTATGAGCTCTGGATCCCAAGAGTATCTAATGCACGCTGCTAGGCACGGAGGTCTCTTGGAGAGACTATCCAGGTTCACGCGTGTGCGCTCAGGGGCGCTGGTGTATCTATATGTTGGGGAGAGGGAGGAGTCCCTTCTGTCAGAGACTCACCTGGATCCCCACATTTTCCGGGTATATGGGAGGAGTGTGCGAGGTCGGAGGGACAGGTAGCCTTGCAGTGATAAAGAGCGCGGAGGGCGGACGAGCGGGGCGGGGATGGAGCGCGGCAGCACAGCCAAATCTTAACCGGGCTCCGGTGTTTGCAGACCCAAGTACAGCGCCGCGTGGTCTCCGCGGGAGCCGTTCCAGAAGCTGCTGCCTGAGAACCCCGAGCCTCAGCCCTGCCTCGCTTCGGGATCCTCTTCCTCCCCCGCACCACGTACCTGGCCTGAGCGGCGGGATACGTGCCCGAGAAGCCCCTCTCGCCAGGACCTGCCCAGCCTCGGTTCGCCTCCGTCTCCCAGGGCCACCGCCGCCTCCGCGTACGGGCTCGCTGCGCTCCCGCCGGCACCATGGAGGAATCGGGGTAAACCCGCGGGCGCCGGCGACTTTTTCCTCCAGAGTCTCTGGCCTGGCGCCTTTTGGGTGAGATGAGTGGGAGAGGTGGTAGCTCTGCCGGTCTGAGGTTGCCCCGAAAGGCCCCGGCCGAGAAAGACAGGCTCCGCGAGACCGTCCGCCGCCAGCCCACGTCGTGCAGCGCCTTCGCCCTCCTCTTCGTCCTCGCGTCGGGGTTTGTTTATATAGGGTCCGGAAGCTGGGCGGAATTGCCCACCCCCTCCAGGCGGCCCGCCCTCCCCTCCCGGGCTCCGGCTCCCGCACGTGGTCGGCACCGCCGGCGTCTCCGCGGAAGGCAGGCGGCCGCGAGCGGGGAGCGGGCGGCCGGGAGCCAGCGCCGCGCAGCTTCGCCTGCTGCTCGCCTTCCCCGGCGCCCTCGCCCACGGCCCAGCCCGGCGCAGACTCGGCTTCGCCTCCCTCCATCCCCCTCGCAGGAGGGGAGCTTGAGCACACCGCCCTTTCGGTGCTCGTGATGTTTCTCTGGGTTCGCTCAGTCGCTGGAAGAGAATGGTAACATGAACGGCGGAGCGTGAGAGCGTCACGGGGGAAGGGGAAGAGATTGATGGGCAGAGCGCTTACTTCGCGGAAGATCACGTTCCGAGGGCTGCGCGAGGCGAAACGGCGCGGCGCCTCCACTTCCTGGCTGGACTGCGCTGACATCTGTAGCCTCCCTTCCAGCAGGTTCCCCGCTCGCGAGCCGCTGCCGCCGGGGAGAGTTTAGACCGCGCGCGAGCATCCAGGAGTTTGGCGACCTCCGTCCAAACAGGAGTTGTGCTCCTGTGTCCGAGTCCCTGGATCCGAGTGGAGCCCGCCAGCACGCTGGTTTCAGAGGGAGTTGAACTTGAGTCCAGGTGGGTCATTCCAGGGGCAGCACAGGAGGAGACAGACGTGCAGGGAGGACGAGGAAGGTGACGTTCCAATGTCAAAAGCGGACGCTTTTCTTCCTGACACTTGCTGGGGCTGAGCCTTTTCCCCCCACGCAACTGACCCGCTCCTCTCCAACCCAACCCTCCCCACTAAGGCGGGGAGGACACCACAACTCCTGTGTTCTTATTATGTAGCATGCTATAGACTTTCATAACTTAAGATTATGGGTCAAATGACCGTATTTTACTCCACTGCTTTATATTAAGGAGGTTTAAGGATTTCCTCAGTCAAGTCATTTACTTCTAAGCCAATAGATAATGCCTTCGTCATAGTTTTCTGGGGGGAAAGTAACTGTGTGTTTGTTCTGCAGATGCCCAACTCCCTCTGAATCGTGCAGATTGGTGCTGAGCACGCAACAAAAGTTTTTAGCTTCTCCTCAGTTTCTGGTGCTTCGCAGGGGAGAGGAAAGGACTTTGGCGTTAAACACAAGAAGCAGTCAGGGAGCCATCTCCTTTAACTTTTCTTCTCTGTTACCATTTGCAATGAAGAGGAAACAGAAGAGATTTCTGCAGATGACTTTGTTATTCATGGTGGCTTTAATTTTCCTGCCCAATATTGGTCTCTGGTCTCTGTACAAGGATAAGCACTTGGTGAAATCCACAGAACCCGGGGAGCAGCAGGTAAGTGCCATCCGGAGAGAGCTCACAGGAGGATTGGTAAGGCGAGTACCTCGCCGGGACACAGGGAAGCCAGTGTAGGGTAGCCTTAGGTTTTCTCTCAAGAATTTGCAGGGCGCATATTTTAGGAATTGAGACTTTGGGGTTTGGAAAGTCCTTGCTTTAAGATCCCAACTAAGGACATGGATGAAAGTAAAATAAACTAGAAAAGAAGGATAAGAGAGGTCAAGAGGAAGAGAAAACAATCTCAGTTGGTCTTTAGGTTGATTTTTGACTTGAAGTGTATGAAAGGTAACTGTTCATTTGTGGGGTGCGGAGGTGGGTTTGGTACAAGTCAGTCCCGGGGATTTGTTTTTGCTTTTCATCCGGTTTCGGTATCTACATTAAAGTGATCTGGGCCAATGAAATCCTTAAACTTGTGAAGTAGTTCTCAAGAAACAAGCTACAGCTTTCTATATTTTTGGTTGTAATTTTTGCTTAGCAACAGCTTTTTACTCTGTGGAAACTTAAAGTCTCTTGTTTTTTCTCTCCTGTTGCTAAGGTGGTGTGGTGAGGTATACAGGCAGAGTTATCAAGGATGCCTGTTCAGTTTCACAATCTGGTGGTAATAGTTTGTTGGTAAAAGCTTTTCTTCAAATCTGAAACACTGCGTAGTGTGATATGTTTTGTTTTCACGTATATGCAATCTGTTAGTCTGGGCATCACTCATGACTTAACATAGATCAAAATAACTATCTTTTTTAGGGAGTAATGCAAAAAAATCGTTCACGAAGTGTTGATGAGAAGTCATATTGTTGAATTTCTTTTTTATTAATAAATGAGACAGCTTCTGTAATTAAACTTCTAACAATAGAATGCAGCCTTCTTTGTGATATTGACGTAACACTTTTTTTTAACTAGTCGCGTGTATCACCTCAGAATATTAATATTCTTAATTTCAAGGGCCATCGCCCATGTACACTGTGTACCTTCCACATATATTATGTGTTTAAGTAAAAGTCCATTTGTGGACAACAGAAATATATATTAATGGCAATTAAATACTTCTTCTTATACTTAATAAAGTTTAATCTCTTTACACAGTGAGTGGTTAGTTGTGAAATACCTGGAGTTAATCTGCTTTTTCATTTTGAGAAGTAATGGTTACCAGTCTGTAAACTTTAAAGATGACTAGTTGCTTATGGATTTTTGGTAGGTCGGAATTTTGAGGAAAACTGTTGATGTTTTTATTTAGTTGTTGATCTCTATCATCATTTCTAATAGGGCTATAACCTTGATTTGAAGTATATTCTGTTTTGTCATTCTAGTGAAAAAAAGGAAGGAAGATGGGCACTTTGAATGTGAAACATTTTTTTTTCCTACTTAGGTCACTTATTTCTCCAACCTTGATGTGAAACAAGATTTTGTTGACATTAGTAGCTAATACAGTATTACATAAAATTTCTATTTCAAAATAGTTAAACTGACAAAAGCAAAATGACTTCTCCTTGAGTTTTGCTAATTCAATTAACCATAGCCATCTGAAGTATTTGTTATATAGCTAACATAAAACACTAATTAAACTTATTAAAGAGATCTTTACAACTTTCACACTGGTTCTTATTGATTTTGACTCTTAATGGGAAATTTGTTTGTACAATGGCATTAAAAAATGAAATATAGCAAATCAACTCTCTGATTTACTGTAATCTCCAAAAGAGTTTCCTTGTTTCTGGTTCTTTTGTAGAGGAATAGATTAACTTAATATTAGGTAATCAGTTAACAATTATGAAAGGAATGGGGTGGCAAGAGAAGGAGGTTTTTTTCAATGTTTCATACACTGTTGAGTAAATAACTGATGAAGATCTTGTGACATTCCAGTTTAATAATCCTGTGTAACAGTTTTGAAACCAAGAGTAAAGACGGTCAGTAATATGCCATAAAATGAATGTCAATCATATACTTCAGTAGTTTTTAACTTAAGTAATAGTTTTAGAACTAATTCTTACAGAAACAAAATTAAAAAGGTAGAAATTATCACTTACTGAAAGATAGAATTCATTGTAAAACAGAAAAGATAAGCTTTTATTGGTTTTATTCCACTGTTAGATATAATTGGAAAGATAATTAGGATAGTTGACCTTATACAAGTATTGGGTAAGTAAGAGTTAAGTCATATATGTATATTTATATATGTGTGTTTATGTGTGTGTGTGTGTGTATACACTTGACCAAATAAAAAGTGACTTCCAGTGATGAGTTAAACATGCTTAATATTGTGATATAATAGTTTGCTAATGTATCTATAAATCAATGTTAGTAAGTCAGCTAAACACACAGGTTTCCAGTTGAAGCATGTAATCTGACTATTGGGTAATGTGTTATTTAAATTTAGCAATTTGTTCTAAAAAGACTATTTCATGGCTAATTGCTAAGATGTTCTTCAAAAGCCATCTTTTGCTATATTTATCACTAAGTTGTAAAATCATGAGGGTAAAGATAATGCGCTGATTGAGGCATTGACAGCAGTAAGTACTGAAGCTATTCAAAACAAGTCACGTGCCCATGTGAGTGGTCTATTTTTACAGCAGTTATGTGTTAAAACAGCAGTTCTGGTGCAAAGTGTGATATGGCGATGGTCACAGAAATTGAAAACCTTTAACCATTTTAAATAGTTTAATTATTACAATGGGTTGTAGGGAAATACTTTACATTATGGAGATTCAAAATCATAGAATGGCTAATACTCTTTAAATTCTCCTAATTTTATTTTATCAGAGCACATCATTAATAGTTTATCTACTAATTTGTATAAACAGTATTTATTACATAATCTGAAACAAAGCGAGGGTAAACAGTAAACACTGATAGAAATTCTATGTTAGTTTTCATGCTATTTAATATTTTGCACATTTTTTTTCATTCTGTTACTATTACAAGTTAATTGTATTATTGTCTTTTCACATGAAGAATAATGTTTACGGGGATGCCTGGGTGGCTCAGTTGTTAAGCCCCTGCCTTTGGCTCAGGTCATTATCCTGGGGTCCTGGGATCCAGCTCTGCATTGGGCTCCCTGCTTGGCGGGAGCTTGCTTCTCTCTCTCCCACTCCCTCTGCTTGTGTTACCCTCTCTTGCTGTGTCTCTCTCTGTCAAATAAATAAAATCTTTACAAATAATAATAGTTATGAAAATTCCCATTATATTTTAATATTTACCCATTTATGATGCAGAAAAGAAAAAAATGAAATAAAAATTCCCAAATTATTCATTTAAAAGTTTTTTTTTTCTTTTCTCTCATACAACCAAAGGGGATTGAAAAAATTTAATAATGCAGTAATTAAAATGTGTATTTTATTGTTTATGCTCTGAAAAGTTGGAATCAAGTTACTAAAATAATTTTTAAGCTTTTGAGATTTTTAATGTTTTAGAAAAATTTGAAGATATTTTATAGTTTTGGCTTATATGTTATTAAGTTATCAATCATAATTGTCATATGTTATTTTCAGTTGAATTTTGTCACTTTTTTGCTATTACTGGGATGATGTAATTATCTTCTTTGTTTTGTTTAGAAATATATACGTATATTACAAAATAATCTATTGATAATGAATAGGATACTTAGCTGAGAGTGATTACTGTGTAGTAATGCTTCTCATTTTTCTCTTAAAATTTGAATTGCTATTCTTCTGGCTTTCAGCTACATTTAAATTAAAGTTATGTGTTTAGATCTTAAATAAGCAGTGCAGTAGGATTATAATTAGGACAAATCAATATTTTAGGGCAAAACTACTTCATTCAGCATTATTATACCTTTCTTCCTAATTATTCATACAAGAATAGGTAAATAAAAACTACCCCCAAACACTTTGTTTTCCTAAATACATTATAAAGTCTAATTGAAAAAAAAAAAGTAGCTGTAGTTTTGGCAACTAAGTTGCAAATAATATGACTTGCAGAAATAATACAAGAATATTTAGAATATGATGAAGACCTTTCAGTATTTTTGTGAATCATTTTTTAAATGAAAGAACTAGAGTCAAATTCCAGAATTTTAAATCAGACATTTTCACAATTATTCAGAATGATTTTAGAAACTTATGTTTAGCCTGGATTTTTTACCACATTAGGAAAAAAAAAAAACAAAACTAGATGCTCATGTCACTTTTGAATTGTAGAACCTTCTTATTTCTTTGTAGTTAGGAATTTTTATTGATGAAATAGGGTTAATCATGCTTGCCACATAAGGTACGTAAAGACCTGAGATCACATCTTGGGTATGGGAAATATTGTGTGCTAATATTTTGTTGTTAGATCCATATGTAAGCTGTACATGACAGGTGTGGGACTTCACCTTTATTAAAAAAAAAAAAAAAAGTACTCTCCTGGATTTCTCAGTATCTTTGACCAACTCTTCTAATGTTAATTAGCACCACACTTTGGGGGGATTTTTTCTTTTGGCTAAGAACATTTTTTCTCCCCTGTGGCATTTTAAACCTGTTTATGATGTGAAGATGTCAGATAATTGGTACTGAGTATATGCAAACTGTCATGCTTTCCTTTGTCATGCTGATCACTAAAGCAGTAGAGTGTGTCTGTATTTCTTTTCCAGCAAACACCTTAGATATTGGAAGAGCTAAGGACAGGAGAAAAAAAAAAGGTTTTCTCTCTTCCCGCTACTCAGGATTATCAATACACTAAATGTGAAATGATGCATTAGTTTGAGCCATACTGTTCTTAATTAGCTAAAATGTAGGTTTTAAATTAAGATTTTAAAGGACCTTTTCTTGAATTTATGGAAAATCCATTCTGACTCGCTACAGGATCACACCACACAGACCACTGTAACAAGTGTCTTAATTATTTGCTGTGACCTCGTAGATCGCAACATGATTAGTTCATCACCTTGCCTCTTGGGAGACTGTGTGAAACACAGTCTTCTATTCACAGTCTGGTAAAAAATTAGATAGGTTTTTCTCTTGTTCATTGCTGCATTGGATAAGCTGTGCTGAATCAATTAACCTCCT